ATGACAGAAAGTCGCACTAAACTTGTCCATATCTCCCCATCATGACACCGCTCCTAATGCAGATCTAGTGTAACAGGCAACCTATGCACTGAAGAGGAAACACCAAAATGTTGAGAAAACAGGATGACATGGGGGTACTATAAAGACTCAGATATCAACATAATCCGGTTTCCTCAGCAATTTGCAATTATCCTATAATTTATGATGTTTGACAGATGTTTCTTGCAGCAAAAAGAGATAGTAATTTTTTTTGTCTTTTTTTTTTTTTTTTCATTTGACCTATTTTTATATTGAAGTTTAAAACCACTGGTACAGGTTGAGAAATGGGTTAGTTTAGTCAGGGACATGCTCTAATCATTAGTTGAAGCTCAAGTGTGTTTGTGTGTCAGTGCAGCGCGTCTAATGAGAATCAGGAGACCCTGTTTGGCTTCCAGTGCTGGGAGATTATAAAGAGCTATTAGATGTTACATCGTGTTCTCTACCTGCGGGCGACTCGTTGCAAGTCATGCAAAAACAAGTACACTTAGCCTCACAGGCAGGAATGTGATACTTTTATATAAAGGCTGAACTGATGCCATTTCTGTATTAACATGAGGCAGGTGTCAATCGTTAATTTTCAATTGCTGACTCACTAACAGAACCAACCCTTCTGGGAAATGGTGTATTGGCTTATGCTAGACAAATATCTGATGGTGTAATTTTGAATTGTAGGCCTATTATCCTCATTATAATTTAGATTTTTAAGGTTTCATGTTTTAGTTTTTTGGTATCACTCAGATAGCACATGTGTCAGCATTTCTGTTTGATTTAAATCTCTAAAGCTTGCTTTATACTCACTGCATTGAACATGGCGCAAGGCTGTGGCCAAAAACTGCGCAGACATGCGCATCTCCAAATTTTTGGAATTTGGCGCTGACCGCGCGCAGTTTTTCTGTACTGATGTCAAATGGTGCAGAAGGTTCAAGTGGAACAGCTTGGCTAAATGTAATGTTGTTACTGTTTAATCAGTGATTAAAAACAGCATACGGGTGAGTTTATAGCAAAAGTTTGGGGTAAAAACAAGGATTTTAGTTTCTGTTTCCATCACATATAGCATAAAAAAAGTCTGAAACCATTACTCATTGTAAAGTATATACTGCATTCAGCCTTTATTTGGTAAAACAAAGTTTTTTCATATCATATCAAAATAGACGTATACCAAAAACCAATCAAATGTATTGTAAGGTATCACACCAGTATATATTTATATAACAACAAAAAAACTAGATTAAAAAAATTTCTAAAAAGTGCTTTAAATCACTCATACCTGTCTTAATACCTGCTTGGTCAGATGCTGAAGTTTAATAAAAAAAGGCAAGGAAAGCAGAATAAAGCATTAGCCTCGCTGCATGCAGTTAGCCAAGCCTTGTTGCTAAATAGTTCTATAAACCTGTCAATCAGCCACAAATAAAGTAGCTTTAAGCTCTGGATGCAGGAGAGCTCCACCTCAGGATAGTCCTATCTTTTGCATCGGAGAGGAGTTTCTGCACCTTGACAACTTTTAATTAGAGTCAATGGCCAAAGATGCTGGTGAAGATTCTTAGACATCCAGGTCATAGTCATTCCAACAAATTAAAAAACAAACCACTGGACTTTGTTTCCAAGTTTGAAGACAACTTTCACCAAATTAGGTTCAATTTCCATGTTTTCTAAGCTATAACAAGGCTTTTGTTTGTGCCACTCTATAAGCCTGGAACTCAACGCTACTCCAGACATTTTGAATAGAAAAAGCTTCCTGGATGGGAAGCATAACATCTTCCAACTTTGAAAAAAAAAAGTCCAGTGGATTGTTTTTTTTTTTCTTTTTTAATTTTGTTGGAATGGCCAAGGATTTTTCCGCCCCAGAGCGGAAATACGTCACCAATCCGACGACGAATTAAACCGGTTTACTCGTCATTAAAGATTAATTATTTATCTTGCACATCTAAAAAAAAATATTATATTATTTGAAATATTTATTTGTTCTTTTTTACGTCTTAAATAAGGTCACTGGGTGTGTGGGCCACTGGTAAAAACAGCACTAGATAACTTGGACACCATGACCGTCTAATATTTGAAAGAAAAAAGGGAGTAGTGTTGCAAAAATAGGTGACATGGTGATCGTCATTTCTTGGAAGTGGTTGCTAATTTAAGGAAACTCAGATAATTTCAGTTAAGTACGAGAGAAATTGAAGATGCAATAAAATTCTAGATAAAAAGAGAAATAATATTTTCTATGACATGTTGAAACAAGTCTGTGGTTCATTCGCACAGCAGGGATTGTTTATAACTTTCCTCAGTCTGTTTGTAGTGAAGTTAAACTGAACCACTTGATTAGAATCAAGCAACAGCTTATCCAGCACTGTGCATTAGAACTACCTTATTGGATAATTACCACAATAAGCAAGTGTACAAACATCTCTAATGAAGTCGTCTGAGACTATTTCTTTAGTTCAATATATCAAAGGGTTTAGTTCATTTTTTTAAATAGAAGTTTTGTTTTCCAATAAAAAATATTCATGGACGTCACCACACTGTACCAAAATGAAACTTAAAACATGTCAATAGTTTTAGAAAAGTTGTGTTGCACAGTTTGTTTTGCAGCGGGATAATGATAGATTTCTTTGTTCCTTCCTCAAAGAATTGTCTTACCACAACAACTGGAGCCATCCCTTCACTGGAGCAAACAAGACAACCAGTGTCCATCCCTAAAAGGATTCAAATTTCTGTCATGTGCTCATTCTGTGCAACAGAGGGCACTACTGTGTGTTGCCCTTATTTTCTGTTTCTGCATAATCTGCATTGCTTCATTTTCTTTCCAACTGTACGTGTGTTTTGATTTTCTTATGTTTGTCTGGGGCTGTACATGTGAGGGCAGTATTCATTTCTTTCTGGTTGCAAACACAGACACACAGGCAGATTTTTATCTAATATTGCACCCCAGTTGTTTTCTCTTACTGTCTCCCTCTCTCTCACTCATTCTCCATTACAACGGCTCTCTCTCCATGAATGAGGGGTTTGTTTGGATTTTCCTCCGGCTTTCCGCTGTTCACCATCACCCTGGTTTTGCTCTTCATTTTCTGGCCTGGACACAAAACTCTGCAAAGGAAATGATTTCTGACTGGGAGAGATGGAGGTGGAATGACAAACTAATATATCCTAGCTTTGAACCTGACTTAGACTCAAATAACTCCAAAGTGCCCAGCCTGCAGCCAAAACTTTGTTTCCACTACCTTTTGCTACAGCACAGACAGTCCTCATAAAAGTCTCTAGTTGCCTAAGTGAGTTATTCAATAACGGACAGAGGAGTTTTATTGAACTGTACTGCAGGTTCGTGTGTGCAAATGAGAATCTGGCTAAGAGTCCAATCCCCTTTGAGCATCCACAGGCACAGCAGCTCATCATACAGCAATAAAGGTTCAAATCTGTATGTATTCCTCATGCTCATATTGCAGCTTCTATTCTTGCACCGATGTCTCTAATCAACCAAAAAATATCTGCTGCTCCCTTTCGTTTTATAAACTTGTAACCCAACCCAGGCCACATGCAGTTGAGAGCAATGTAGGTGTTTTGCTCATAGGTGGTTCTAGGCAGGGGCCAACGGGGGCCAGCGCCCCTAGAGAACTAATCCTGGCCCCTGTAATGGCCCCTGTATTTAAAACATACATTACAAAAAATTGACATATAAGTCAATTTTCTCAAAAAGGGTTATATTTTGCCTCAATGTGAGCAGTAGGTAAGAGAATTTACAAATGTAATAAGATGATTTCAATAATAATAAAAGAAAAATCAATCTTCTTATTTCAAGTAGTTTGTATGTAATTATCTTATTTTGAGGGGGAAATACATTTTTTTTTGGGAATCATCTTATTTACCTCTGCATTTTAAGAAGTTTTAGATTAATTTTTGCTGTGTCCTATGATTATATCCACTGACAGAATGGACTGCACTCAAATCTTAGATCTTGTTTTGAGATTTACTATTTTCATGATTTCATGAAGTCTTGTAAAGTGCAATCGCCTAACTGCATTAGCAGAGTATTGCACTTACTTTAATCTGAATCCTCTCAAAAGCAATCTTGTCTTGCTTATTGTATCAATCTCCAAACGAGACCGTGAGTAGATGGACAGTTTTTGCAGCATGTAACTGATGATAAATGACTTGGACCAATTTAATCAATCACCTTTACAATTTACTTTTAAACAATGAAGTCACCGTAAAACTTCAGCCATATTAAGATACAACCAGGTTTTCATCATCATAACGGCACTACCCTGGCTCCCCGGAAAGCTTTGTCTAGATCCGCCACTGCAGTTACTACCTTTGGTAAAGGAGCATAACTTTTGCTCGTTTACCAAAAGGTAGTAGGAGCAGATCACGCCATAATGATACGAGAGCTGGAAAATAGAAAATTATACTGCATCTAACCTCAAAAGCAAATAAGCAGGGATACACTTCTTCACTTTTAATAATGAGCAAGAAGCCGGACAAATATTGTCATCCAGCTTCAAACACAGTCCTATAGTTTCAGGTGTCTAAGTGGGAACAGAACTCTTGTGGAAAGATAGACGGAAGTATATTAGCATGTTTTCTGCAAGTTACGGGTTTTGAAGAATCACATTCTTTAGTTACTGAATGATCAGTTTCTTTGCAGTCTGTGGTAAATCCTTGCTGGAAGTTTGCAGAACAGACGGACTCTTCAGTTCTGCCACTATTCCACTGCAGCTTGCAAAAACAATCAAGCCCTATAACAATGATAATAATACGGTCACATGTTTACGTCAAAGGAGAAATTAAAAGCAGATAAGTAGGCCGGCTGTGTGGTTGAACTAATCCAAAACCGTAAGGGGATGCTTTTTTCCCCTCCTTTTGCTGAAGGTTGACATTTAGTTCTAAACTGTGGCTTCAGGCAGGCAGTCAAAAGGAGGGCAGCCAGAGGATCAGAGCTGATGTATGATAAAGTACAAGAGTGGCCAACTCACCTTCTTCTTGCTACAGTAGATCTGCCATTTCTTCTCGTCAGGCAGAGCAAACATGGCCTCTCTGTTCTTGTCAGTCAAGTCCAGTTCATCCTGCAACAATAATAAGAGAAGCTTAGGCTACACAGCTTTTATTTCTGTTAGTCTGTACAGAGAAAAAAAGAATAACAATGACACAAAATCAAGGCACCGTCATTCATTATTTTTTCTTCTTATTATTATTTATATTATTATTTAGTCATTGAAATGACAAGAAAAAATATCTTAGAAGTCACAGATCAGTGAAGTTGGTCAAAAGGGTTCTTGTCATTTTGCTCTATTGCCATTTTTGTACTTTTGTAAGTTTTATTTTTTGTTTTATAAGCTGCTTTTTTCTGGTAAGAAATGGTTAAAAAGTAGCCCGGTTGGTTCAGTCAGCAGAGCATGAGACTCTTAATCTCCGGGTCATAGGTTTTAACCCCACGTTTGGCGAGCATCTCTTTGCCCAATCCATCAACGTAGGTGGTAGCTTGCACAAGACTTTGACGTTTCCACTACCCATAGGTGGGTTTTCTTGCATCTGAGTGCTGTTGTTATTTAGGGGAGTGGTGGCCTAGTGGTCAGGGTCTTGGAATCCTGAGGTTGTGAGTTCGAAATCCACTCCCACAGACTGCCACTCTGGGTCTTTGAGCAAGACTCTTAACCCCCTGGTGCTGCACAGTGGAAGTCCACTGCTCCCCAAATGGGATTGATTAAATACAGAGAGTTAATTTTTCCATTGTGAGATCAATAAAGTTCTATTTTATTTTTATTTTAATTTCCTTTTCCCCTGTGGTACTCACAACTCTATTAGTACCTGCCAGAAGGGTGCACTTTACCAATTTGTCAGCTGACAATTTCAAGTAACTTTTACTAATTCACACGATCAAATAAAAGAGTTAAGTTGTTTGCAGAAAATGGCCAGTCAGTCAGTCACATAGATGCAACTCAGTGCATTTAGAAATCTAGATATGTGAAGAAAGGGATGTGAGAGACCAAACAAGGCATGGCAGTATCTATTTTCTGGGATTTTCGAATAGACAATATATTTTTCTTATACAGAATGCTCAGAAAAACTAAGCAAAACCTTGTGTCCTAAAGGTTTAGCACACAAAGATTTCTATTGAATGTTAGAAGAAAATAGGCAAACTAGTTCAAGATGACAGAAAGTCAACAGTAGCTCAATGGCCATTCATAGAATAGCTGAATGTTATCTTTGAATGCACATGTTGAAGCAGCAGTGACTTTACCAATGGACACGCCTTTCAGCTCAAAGAAGCTGTAGCTCTCTTTCACAGCGGTTAACACAATTTAAGAACTGCTGATAGGAACTTTTCCCTAATCCTCTTTATTTAACTGCTACATTCAGATCTTAGGGTCAGAATCTGGTCTTCACAAGTGTTTCCCAACCCTGCGAACAGGGTTGGGAAACACTGGTGAAGACCTCAGGAACCCATTTCCTGTCTTCTGTTTCACCTTATACACATGACCAAAAATAATGCGTGGTTAACAGACATCTGCAGCACTTGATCACTGCTGAGGCTGAACATTTTGATTCATCCTCAGCAGTGATGTGCTGAAAAAAAAGACATGAAATTTTACATGGAGTGGTTGGACAACGGCAGTTTATAGAGCATAGGTCCTTTTCAATTTAGGTTGGTGTATAAAATATATGGACCAGTGAATGTAGACAACAATTCACTTAAAAGTCAGATCTAAAAATCAATCACACATTTTTCAATTCAATTTGGTTTATTTATATAGCGGCAATTCACAACACATCTCAATGCACTTTAGAGAGACAATTCAAACAGATCATACAGGCAAATGGTGTCAAAGTTTTCAATCTATGGAAAACCAGTTGATTGCATTGACTCATTGACTCAAAAGCAATCCCTCCAAGTATGCTTGTAGCGGCTTGTTTTGTTTTTATGACGGAAATTGCGGAAAACAACCCGTGAAGTTGGACCAGCTAGAAGAGCGAGGTGCGCGGGAACGCTGGGACCCTTTTCCACCTGGATCCCCGCCCTGTTTCGTCATCATTTCCATGCTTTGCTGGACAAACTCGCCCCCACTTCCTCATCGCCTCGGCTGCATCTAGACCCACAGCGTATGCGGAGACCACACTTCAATATTGAGCATAAATCAAAAATGCACAAAACAACTCAGCTGGAGGATGGCCGGTAAATCACTGCTGCAGGAGTATAACCAGGCCTTAAGGCTCTTAGGAGCAGGTGACTGAGTAGGTGAAGGAGGATGTTGAAGCTCAGAGAGGAACGGTGGGGCAAGATCAGGGATTTAAAAGCAAATAAAATGGATTCTAAAATACATAGGAAGCCAGTGGAGTGAGGCTTAAATGGGGGAGATGTGCTCATACATGCGTGTGCCATTTAGAATTGCAAAACTGGCAAAAGCTTGAATTGACCCAGAACAATCAGGTTTACACAGACAGCTTTGATAGTCTAGCTGAGAACTGTCTTTACTCACTAGAGAGGAGCATTTTAAAATTCCCCCAACCGCCTGGCTTAATTCTTCATGTTAGCACAAGGAGCCCCCTCCACCCTTTGAAATGCATATGAGCCCTGGAAATGAGTCTCTGCAGGCCAAAGAGGAAAAGCAAAGTTTGGAAAACAAAGATGCATAAATCAGATGCAAGGAGAGTCAAATAACAGATGAACAGGCACAGAAAGGATCAATGAAAAATCATTACAGTGAGGATGTTGAAACCAATGGAACAAGAGGCAAAATAAGAGGAGCTTCAGTCCTGAGGATTTGTGCTCAACTCCAACTAATCTCCTCATAATGGTTTTGCTACCATGACGTCAGCCACAAGCAGCAGGCCTCAAAGGATGTCTAGAATGAAGATGGTCACTGGTGACAGAGGTGGGCCCCCTTTTACTCCACTCCACTAAGTTTTTTTTTTTCCAACAACTCTGCTGGACAGCGAAAACAGAGGCTTCCAAAATTCAAATTGACACTATGAAGAATGACATCATCCCTGGCTCATTCCTTTCAGTGGGATATCCAGCAGAAGCATTGCTGTGGCTTTGGTAGAGAGGGAAAATATCTGAGGGTGTGAATTTAAAATAGGGTATAACACAGACACAGAACTTTTTTTTTTTACTTTAAAGAACAGGATTTCAGCGACTATCATCAGCATTAAAAGGAAAAAAAAAATCTAAGATCATAGGAAAATCTTGCCATTATGTGGCAGCTGAATATGTAATCTCTGTCACAATGTCCTTTGGTATCTACAGATTTTGCTCTTGAGCGCAGTCCTCTCTCTCTCCATGCTCAGCTCATCTCTGGCCCGTTGCCTGGTCGTAGGGTCAAAGCCCGCTGTCAGATCTGAGGCTCTTTGGAAGAGCTAAATTCTGTGAGCCTGTGAGAATCTGTGAGAATGAGACCTCTGGACGATGACCAGATGGGAGTTGAGCCGAGCATCTTATCCTTATGCAGCTTGTGCTCTCACTCTTGCTAATACTGAGGCCTCTCTATTCATAGGCTTTATATGGTGAGAAGCAAGGATGTTAGAACTTCTTTACAAAACCAAATCCCAAGGTGAGAAATGTACAGGATATTTCATTTTAAGTATGGAATCATCTGCATATGGAGTAAATGCTGAAAAAGTCAATTTATGAAAGATGGTGATCATTTGATTTAATGATGGTTAGTTTTCTTTATTTTTTTTGAACACAAGAACAAAAGATTGATAACAAAATGAGGGCAAGTAAGATTTTTCTTAAAATTCTGCAAATATCAGTCAGTATTATAATAATACTAATATTAGCGTCTAATACTTTTAATGTTAATTAACCAGCTTGTGTTTGTAACTTACTTAAATACTTCTAGCAATATAGGTTTCCTCTTTTTTCTAACACATGTCTATTAAAATAAGATCAGATAAAGAAAAATAAGCATTATACCACAAGTAGATTTTAAGGTTTGGTTTTAAAAAGCATTGCATTTCATTAAATATTTTTTCAATGTTTTATTGTACGTATGTTTGCCTTCTTGGCAAATAAATAACCCTTATCAGCTCAATTGCACTGGGGTTCTCTATATTTTTTGCACAAATCTACTACAGACCATAAAGTACCCAAGATGTATTTTCCTTGAAAATAAAACCCGTATCTTTAAATGCAGTGTAATATTGTATAATTGGAAACATTTTCCAGCCATTAATGTGATCGTTCTGACTATTACTACTTCAAAAGGGCCCTTGGTCAGATAAATGTAAAATATGAACAGGCAGCTAAAAAAAATTGTAACATAAATCCATCATCTATTGTTTTGTTTAAGCACCTTTCGATATTTTTTTTTATAATTTAGTCTTTTTTTGACCTAAATGAGTCAGAATGCCACAGCTTGACTTGACTTGGGCTGCTAAAGGTTATTTTAAATCAGATTGTAAAGATATCTATTCTCTATAATTTTGCCAGGAAAACGATTAGTTCGAAAACCCCGGCTAGACCCATGGTTTGCAATGTTACTCCGGTGATACTTTACATTGTAAAAATCTGGACTTTGTCAAAAAAGAAAAAGAAGCTGCAAGGAAACTCAAAGTAGGACGGCTTATAAATGAGGGAAGGGCTGAATGGTGAAACTGCAGCAAGAACTGCTACAAAAGTATTACATTGTAATTGCACACGTGTCCATCCTGATATTTAAGTCCCTTATTTATTTATTTATTTTTAAAAATGGCAGGATAAATGCAGCAGTAAAGGTGGAGGATGTTTTAAAATGGATCACCAATTACATAATTTTAAAGAAGAAAATACACTTTTCAGATGCACTGTATTACATATAAACAAACTAATCTGGATGATGTCTTACTTCAGTCTTAATAACTGTTAAAACACACAAACAAACAAAACCCAACTTAGACTGTTGACAGGATGAATGTTTTAGATGAATTGCAAAAGGTAAGTATAGCCATGTAGGGTTATATAAGATTTTAGGGGATAAATAGAATAAAAGCAAAAGTGAAAATGAGACCGGGGCAGCAAAATGTCTTAAGAAACTCAAAATGTGGCATTTGTAATTCCATTAAGGTCAGTTTCCCAAAGGCAAAA